TCACTCGTTCCGTTGTACCTTACGGGCTCTCTCTCGAGCCCAACCAGCAGCCGCACAGCGGCGCATGATATAGGCAGTATGTTATCACCGATAAAGACAAGGGAGACTGGGATGGCCATTTCTGGCTTATGAGCCGGCGTCAACCAGTTATACCCAACCCTGAAGTGTGGAACACCCGAGGCTCGGACTCGCGACCTGTTGGTCAGACGTCACTTACTTGGATCTAACCTAAGTTAGACTTGACGTGAGGCCATAAAAAGGAGTCAAGGAAGCCTAGTTCTCGGTCTTCAAGGCCATCGACACTCAGTGAGCTGTGAGGGCCCAAAGCTGGGTCAAATTTACTGCACTAGAGAAAAATTACGCAGGGTTGGCCTCTCTCTCTCTCCCACCATGCACCAGCGGCGAAACCAAATTTAGCCAACTGGAGGCGAGTTTCAGCGCAATAACTGACGTGACATAAGGCTATCGTCGCCTGCATGGTACACACATGTTCTATCCGCACAAGGGTCTGGCAAAACAGCCCTCTCCTGTTTCTGGTTGCCCATCATCACTACTCATGAGGGAGGTGTGCAGAAAGAATATCTCTGGACTTCATCACAAGTGCGCGCGGGTTGACACTGAACAAACAAGCAGTTAACTGTCAGAGAAGTCAAGCTACGGCATGTAGCTATTTATCAACTCTAGGAAATTAGGAGACAGCACAAAGTGAGGTTCGTTGATTTCAGTCTCATGTAAAACTCCTTACGTGCGTCTCTTTTTGGCGGCAAGCCTTCTAGACTTGGGAATCTCATCAGAGACGGCGGAGGAAGAAGAAGAGGAATCTGAGTTCAAGCTTAGGGATTCGACTGTCTCCTCCGTCTGTTGGAGACGGCTGCTGGAGCGCGTCAGACGCGAACTGGAGGACATTGGGCTGGAGTTGCTGTCTTCCAACGGGCTGTGTCTGGTGCTACTGTTTTTGCTAGCAGAGCTTGTGTGATCTCCCTCGTCGTCGCTGGGGTCGTGGGAAGTGGATGATGAAGATGACGTAGCAAGCAATTTCAGTCTAGCCTCCTCTTCTTCTTTTGTTGTACAGTAGACTGATCGTTCAGAGGTAACAGCTGGGGGAGCGGTTTTGCTGCTGCCGGTGGAGATAGAGGAAGGTGAAGGCGGCGCGGAAACTGAACGCAGGGGCGATGGACCACTAATCAAAGACTGGCCAACAGGGCTAGGAACCTACGCAGAGAAGGAAGTGGAACGAAACACATAATCAATGCTGGAAAGTAGGCGCGAGGTGGGGGCGTGGGGGAGGGGCTATAAACACAATTTCCAGCTTTTGCTTCCGGAGAGTCATCAAGGTCCGGATGACAAGAGATTTAAATTTGGGTCAGCTAGTTCGGAAGCGTATTGAGACAAAACTCCGAAAACTGAGCTAAGATCAAAATGGTGAGGTGGCGGTGAGGGTACGAAGGGTTGACGATGCGTACAGAGCGTGACCGATCTCATGAAATGCTGGCCGAAATTCGTTTTCGGCATAATCCTATGGCATTTCGGACTCGCCAGGATGTCGGCTTTTGGATGCACTCTTTCTTGACCTCCTGCAGAAACCGTACTCGGTAAAAATGACCACGTAAGTAGCATGCATTTTTCCTATGGATTTTCGATGGTCTTGTAAATTCAAATATATTTTATAGAAAACGGGCACAAAATAAGCTTCCTTTTACTCAGTTGGTAGAAAATAACATTGTCTTTGCATTTTATGCACGAAGAAAGTGCATATTTAGGTTTTAAAAAGATTCTAATTGTGAGATTTTTAAGACCGTGCGATGTCCATGCATACAGAACCGCACATGTCCGTTTACTACAGCTGCTCATGAAATGTACAACATGGTTCGGATCCATTGCGAAACTTTATGAACTCTATGGGGTATCTTCTTAAAGGCATAGAGGAATGTATGATTTTCCTTCCGCGGAAAGCATGCACCTTGTTGACTGGAACCGTTGAACAATGATGCAATGGCAGATTAGGTTCAAAAATATTCGGGAATTGGGAAACTTTTTTAAAACCTAAATATACACTTTCTTCGTGCATAAAATGCAAAGAAAATGTTAGTTTCTACCAAATGAGTAAAATAAAGCTGAATTTTGTGCCCGTTTTCTATAAAATATATTTGAATTTAAAAGACCATCGAAAATCCATAGGAGAAAATGCATGCTACTTAAGTGGTCATTTTTTACTGAGTACGGTTTCTGCAGGAGGTCAAGAAGGAGTACATCCGAAAGTCGACATCCTGACGAGTTCGAAATGCCATAGGATTATGTCACATGATGATCAATATTACAACCCCACCTAAGTAATCCTAATCGAAAACGAATTTCGGAATTTCGGTCAACATTTCATGAGATCGGTCAAGCACTATGAGTCAGCTTAGGCCCGGCGAGCAGGCGCTAAGTAAGTGAGCGTAAGAAGACAACGCAGTTGATCTCTTCTGATAGAAAAGTAAACAAACATGGCGACGGGAAAAGACGATGAGGGCCAGGAGGCGCTGACCAACCAGAGTCATCCAGAATGTCATCCACTAATGTATAATTACGGACATATCAGAGCTGTAGCATCTTGGGCGAACAAGATGATCGAATCTGTTGGGCCCCTCGTTAACAGCCACTGTTTCGCGAGATGCGAAAGCGGACAGCTTCGACCAGCGATAATATTGCTAGGATCTATGCCAATAGCCGGGCTTTTGAAAGTCTTGGACGGTTTCTGCGGACCAGCCGCGACATCACAATTCGTCCAAAGATGCATTTGCATTAAGCATTTGTCCGACCAGTCCCCCCACAGTTATGAATGCGGGGTTGGTTATGTGCAGGACGAGCAAGAACCGGAAGTAGGGAAACGATCTCCTAGGTCACCCAAGAAATAGAGCTGAAATACCTCGTAGACATTATCTACTGTCCATCTCATGAGCACAACGCCATCATCATAAATCCAGCATCGCCCCTCCATCAGAACAACAAAGAGTCATTGTGATCTTGAGTTTATTCTTCAGGCCTCGGTATTCGGCCGCCTATACTGAGGAGTGGGTATAGCTCGCAAGATAACTGAAATATAGGTTGGCGCGAAAAAACACCGTGCGTAGTACAAAGGTAGTTAGATCAGGCGTGCTTGCAATCGGCTCATCAAGCAGAAGCAGTCGTAACTGGCACCTCTTAGATAGAACACGAGAAAAGAACTGTGACTTACCTCTGTGTTATGAAGAATTTGGTCCGGTGTCGAAGCACATTCCAGTTGCGGTGGAGTACCAGACCGTTCCGCGTTATCAGCTTCAGATGGCGAAAGAAATCACAAGACATGGAATTAGCGGGCCAACTGTGTGCAGCGGGACAATCTAAACACAC